TTAAATTTTTTTTTTTTTTTTTTTTTTTTTTTTTTTTTTTTTTTTTTTTGTGGTTGTTAACCTTCCCCCTAGGATATATTTTCCCATTGATTTTTAGAGACAGTGGAAGAGAGACAGAGAGAGAGACAGAGAGAAACATCGATGTGGGAGAGACCCATCCATTGCTTGCCTCCTCCCCTTGCTCAGATGGGCCAGAATTGCTGCCAAATGGGCCAGAATTGAATCTCCAACCGAGGCACGTGCCCTTGACCGGGAATCGAACCTGCGACCCTGGGGTGAGCAGGATGACGGCCTAGCCCCTGAGCCTCACTGGCCAGGACCTGCTGGCCCCTGGTGGGATCCCAGGCATGCAGCTGGCTGCACCTGGAGCCCCCTGGGCTGTTCCTTTGCGCACCCCCCAGTTCTTCCTCCACACGGTGCCTTCCTCCTGGAGTCCCACTTGGGCCCCTCTTGATGACCGTCCCAGCTGATCCCTCCCCACGGTCCCTCTGGAGGCCAAGTGACCACCTCCTAGTCTCTCCCCTTGTGGGTCAGCTGCGCGCCCTGCTCTCACCCCCTCTCCAGGTCCTTGCGCGCAAAGCTCCCCCAGGCTCCCCAAGGCTCCCCAAGGCTCCCCAAGGCTCCCGGTGCTGGCCCGGCCCCCGCGGGCTCTCCAAGCGCAGGAGACCAGTCCCACCTTCCTGCCAGGAGGACGCTGGCAGCCGGAGGGGAGCGCGCAGCCAGGAGCAGAAGCAGAGGCGGGAGGGCGTGGCCGTGGGGCTCACGTTGCAGCCGGGCCTGCGGCTCCGGGGACGCTGGCTGGCGGGGCGCAGCCGGCTCCCGCCTGCACCAGGGTTGCAAGGCGCTGCCAGAGGCCACGGCGCGCCCCCCCTGCCCACCTCGAGGCGTCCAAACCCTGCTGTGTTTCCCCCCACAAAGCAAGAAACCGTCTCCACCGCTGCTGGAACGGGCGCCGGGGTGCAGACTCTGCGGGCGCAGCTCCCTGCTTTTTCCCTCCCCTGCTCCGCCCGGGTCCCGGGACTTGCTCTGGGAGCAGCAATAACCCTCCCCAAAGCCGTGCGCCGCGTCCAGCCCGAGGGGCACAGGCGCGCCCACCCTGCGCCCGGCGCTATGAAGACGCGAGAAGAGGGCTGAGCGCAGAGCCGCGCGGCCAGGGTCCCTTGGCTCCGGCCCGCGCCCCGTCTCCCCGGGGTGGGGNGGCGTGGACTCCAGAAGCCTCTCGGCGCCTGTAATAAAAGGGCTCCGGCTCGCCTGGCCGCGCTGGGAAGCTGTGTCACCTCGCCCCCGGCCCCGGGAAGGACATGCCTCCTGCGGACCCCCAGGGGTGACTCGCGCCCCGACCCCGTGGATGCTCAGAGCGCGCTGCTCGCCTGGGTCTCTGCCTCCGAGGGACAGGTGAGGTCCCAGAGCCACCTGGGTTCCCGGGTGGGGGTGGGAAAGGGGGCGCAGCCGGGGATGGCGGGGCACGGTCTCTTTCGGCAACGGGTGCAGGGGTTTGGGGGAACAGCCAAGAAAAAAACAACAACAACGAGGGGGCATCAAGGCAAAGGGGCGTATTCAGCTGTTGCTGGTACTATAGGGGCTGAGGGGCCACTTGCCATCCAGGAGAGGCGCTGATGGAATCTGGCGGGAAGATGCCTGGAGTCGGTCTGACTTTGAAATCCGACCTCTGTCCCTTCCCCCCTTCCCTCCG